TCAGCTGTGTATCCTCAGTTGCTACAGCCTGCATTTTCTGTGATGAACATGCTTCTTTAAAACCTCAAAGTTGAATTTCTTTGCCACCAAGAGTCTGAACAGCCCCGTGCTTTTGATTCCAAATCAAAACTGTGGAAGTTATCACCCACACCTGCGATGTTCAGAAAGCTCAAGGAAGAATGACTAGAACCGTTGTTTCCAACAAGAGGGTGTTTTCAGAACGAGAGTGGAAAACAGTAGAGAAACATGCTACTTTTTAGAAGTTGATAGCAGAGATACAATGAAACCTGGCAAAAGCAATAGACAGACACTGGTGAGGGTTGGGAAAATGTTCATGTTATCCTCCAGAGCCTATGAGAGCTTGTGCCAGTCCGTAACTGGGGAATTTAACCTTACTGAAAGTGCCTGTAATCGGTAAGCTAAGTGTGGAAGTTCACGTAATCACATAAAGGACTTTAAAAAAAAGTCCTCTGTCCATAGCAATTTTTGTGATTTGATACATTTATGTTACTGTGGGGAAGCTCCACCCACAGGGACCCCCCCAGCTGACCATCGTGGATGAGAATCAGTCTATGAAGACATGATCTGCTTGGGGAGGAAAGGTGGCTGATCTCTCAAAGGAGAAGGGCCAAGAGCCTTTTCCTCAGTGGGCTTTTATTGGGTTCATTTGCACAGGAATACAGATAAAGCTCATTCATCATTGTCAGGCAGTAAGGATCAAACAATAGATAACAAAGAACTCTGAGGGCCTATTTTGAGTCAAGGTCAGATAGCTAAAGAGCTGTAAAACTTTGAGGAACAAACTTACTTCTTGCTTGGACCCTTATCATTTAATAGAGAGCATTCTAAACAAAGCAGGCTTCACAGGATTTTACATATTCTTTCTTAGGCCTGATCACCCAGGGAACCTGCCCTTTCCAGCACAGGGCTACACCACCCTCTTATCATTGTTTCAGGCTTAGGTGGAGCAAGGGAAGTAAGGCAGCCAAGAGATTAGGAGATTTCTCGCAGACAATGAGGACTCAAGCTTTGTCAAACCCGAGGGGTAAGGGTCCATCACCCCCTTTTGCTGTAGCCCCAAAGTCCTTCCTTTGGGGCTCCCACTTGATCGTGCCTGTCTTAGATTGTTCCCCCTTTGGGGAATCTTACCTGTCATTGGCCAACTGACCAAACATTGAGGGCCAGTTATGGATGAAGTAAAAGGAGCAGAAGCAGCTCCTGCCAGGGAGATAAGCTTTTGTCTTCTTAGTGGCTTACAGTCCAAGGTCATTCCCTCAGCCTTAGCCGTGGCTGGGGTTACAGCTTCTGAAACCAGGCAGGGCGGTTCCCAACATGTTATCTTAAGACTTTTAGAAGTGTGCAACGGTCAACTCTGGTCTGATTCTCTGCTGTACATATTCAGAACTTCTAAATTCCCATTTCTACTTGAGCCAGTTGTTTCAGGCACATCTATGGTATATTGTGTGTGAATTCTGACAGGTGACATTTTCTTCCTCCTCTACACAGAGTAAATCGTGTCTGTAGCTGCCAACTCTCCATTCAGGGTGCTTTTATTACATGTCTCAAATCCTGTATTTTCTCCTGTTGTCCGCCTTCCTCAGAGAGCCAGTGCATTTTTAACTCTGTGCTACAGCATCTGCTCCCTTGTATTTTTGGAGTGGACTTTCTTAAGTTTGCACCATATGTATGACAGGGAAGTCCTCCCTTGAGAATCTGTGTTTGATTCGGCATGAGACTTATTCTTAGTGCATTTTTGAAATGAAGCTGCTGCCGATGCCTCTGCCTGCAGAACCAGCAACCTAGTGGGAATCACCACTTCTGCCAGATGCTCTTTCTGGAAGCTTCGTCTTTCCATCAGTGGTGATTACCCCAATTCTCTAGAAACCTGTGGCAATTCAGAAATAGTAGAAATATTCCTTTATGCCATATACTTTCACGTGGTTGTGAAACAAAGTTCCTACATTCTATTTTCATTCATTTTCTTCTTTTTTGCAGTTAAGCAGAACTGAGTTTGAAAAAGCTGCCTGTTTTTTTTAAACTGGTCACATTTTTGTTCTGCCTTGTTTGTTGGATTGAATTGCAGTATCTGTGTTGCTCTTCCTTCACATTGTTCTATGTACAGAGATTTTTTTCTTTTCTTCTTCTCCACCCTCTCCTTTTCCTTCTCTTCTTTTTCTTCTTATCTTCTTCCCCTTCTTCCCCTTCCCATTCTTCTCCTTCCCCTCCCCCCTCCTCCTTCTCTTTCTTCTTCTTCTTCCACTCTCTTTCTCTAACTAAGGAATTTTCCTTTCCTACCCTTCCAATCTTGGATTGTGTTTAACCTACTTTTGTCTTCTATTCTCTACCTTAATGTTTCTCTTACTTCCTCTAACCTTCCAACATACTCTAGATGGGAATCTCTAGAAAAAATAAATATTATCACCATCTAACATTAACTATGTTGCCTTATAACTAATACAATAATGCTATAAATATTCTAGCTACACTTTCCTGACATCCTTATCTGTAATTGGCCTTCCTCTTTTTTCCTGTGATCATCTAGTATAGCTGTAACAGGGTGCAGCCAAGAGGGGATCCCCAAGTAGGGATTTGTAATAGGGTCCAGAAGAGCTTGGAGATGATTGGCTCCACACCACAGGGCCAAACCAGCCCTGAATGCAGGCAGCTGTGGCCAATTGTGAGACGAGCCGGAAATGGGGCTGCAGAGGAAGATTGGTGCTGGGATTTAAATGGAGGCACAGCAGTCATTGGGGGTCTCTCTTTTTGGGACCACACATCTGTTTAGGACCATGCAGATTTGGTGTCTTGGTTGGGACCATGAGTCTTGGGTGAGAGTCAGGACCATGAGGCTTTGGAAGTGCTCCCTTTTGCCACGTGGAGGGTTCTGGGAAGACTGTGTGCATTTGTGGGGAACTTTAGTTTGTGTTATTTCAAATGAATAATAAATTCCTTTCCTTTTCATGAATCTTGGGTATAGAGAGATGTCTTTCCTCTGGTGGTGGACATATGAACCTGGGGGGTTCCTTTCGGGTAATAGTATATTTCCTCAGCTGCCCTTCACCCCCCCTTTTGTACTGTAACATAGCTGTTTTTAAATGTTGTTCTTATCACTATTATGAATTATGTATCAGAAGCTTTCAGAGGGTTTGTTTCCATAATTTCCTGGAATCCAACCTGGGTTTGAGAGAGTCAGTCCAATTTTTTTTTTTCTTTTGAATCACTGCCTCTCTTCTTTTGTTAGATGTACTCAGGTATTAGTCACTGTCCATAACCCAGTAAAAGAAAATCTCCTTTTTCAAGTCTCATTTCCTAAGCACATGACTAACATGAAATTACTATTAATGGAAATATACTTTTTAAAAAAATTCAGAACAATTAATTTTTTGTGTCTAGCCTCCTTTTATAGCTTGACCTTTTCTAAAACATATTGTTTCAGATGTAAAGGCTTAAAAAGCTACTACTCACACCAAGAGGTACTCAGTAGCTGCTTCTCCTTCTCTTCCCCTGCTCCTTCCTTCTTCTGCTTCTGATCCCCTGCCGCTCCTCTGGTTCTCTACCCTCCTTCTCCTAGTTTATTACAACTAGTTTACACAGAGAAAGCATCATTTTTTTTTCTGCCCTGGCTCTTTGAAAAGTGTGTGTAATTAAGCATTTATTATTAATCAGGTTCTTAGCCTATCTTTTTAATCTCTGTGTGGAACTAGTAAAATGAGTTCCTAAAATTCTGGGCTTTGGGGCACTGGTTGGTGATATTAGAGCAGTTTCCATTTCAGGGTTAAGCTCTCTGTACACATGTATTCTCTTGCTGTTGAAGGGTTTCTCTTACTTAATAGTCCAGTTACACATTTACAATAGCTCTCCCTCCAAATGTGTTTTCCATGTACTTGAGTTATTAATGTACTACAGAAAATTATTAGTAGACAAAATATGTGTTATTTCATTTAAGAAAACCAAGAAAATAATGTGTTTAATTGTTTTTTTCCACAGTATATGGAAGTAATTAAATGTTTTGTAGACTTCAGGTTTCTATAAGCAGATAAGAGGATAGAAGTTTTTCCTAGCCATAATGACAGTACACTACAGGGATGTAGGAATTAAATCACTGAAGGTAAGCTGGGAGGAGATTAGTATGATTGAATTTGTTTCTGTGTTTTGGATACAACCTTGGGTAATTATGGAGCAGACAATAGCTAGAGGGATTTGAATGTCAATAGGGAAGTATGGACATAATTTTCTAAGCAAAAATGTAGCCATGGACTAGATGGGGTTATTGTTTAATAAGGAAGCTGTAGCAGGTAGACAATATGGACGTATTAGAGTAACTTTGCAGGATATGTTAAGAATGTGAGCTTTTAGCTGGCAATAGCAGTAGAATGAAACGTTAATAGGTGTGAGATAATTTTATTGATATGAAATTTACATGCCAAAAAAGTCACCACTTAGCCACTTTGAAGTGTACCATTCATTAATTTTTAGTGTACTCACAAAGTCTTAAAAGCATCACCATTATCTGATTTAAACCAATTCCTGAGAAAATTCCAGAGAAACCTTGTGCCATACCAACCTGTCGTCACTGACCATGGGCCCCCTCACTCAGCCCCTGCCAGTCACTAATCTGCTTTCTCCCCCGTATAAATGTCCCCAGTCCGACTTTTCATCAAAATGCAATCCTCGTACATTATATGGTCTTTTTGTCTGGTTTCTTTTACATAGCATGATATTGTAAATATTTACTCGTGTTGTGGCATATATCAGCACTTTATTCACTTTTATAGCTGGATAATATCCCATTTTTTGTTTGTATATCCATCGTTTGATGAAAATTTACGCTGCTTCCATTTGACCAGCATAGCCACTCCTCGTTTTGTTGTGCCCTGATGGAGAGGCACAATGAGATTAACACATTTTCATGCTTGCTAAAACAACACCTAGCCTGTAGCTTGTGTATCCAGGAATAATTTTCAACTTTCAAGTCTTATTATTCAGGAAATACAGTTTGTATACCTGCCTGGCAGGGGAGATGCCATGATCACAAAGGTGGTTTTCCCAGGGCAAGGCTTATCCATTGCACTTTGGATATGCTGACCCCCGAGAGTTCCCCAAATGTGGGTAACTAGCTTGCATAACTTGTGCTAGTGGGTGGCTGCATTCGCACACTCTCCTGGCTTCTTATGAGAAAAAAAAGAAAATACATTTTGTAAGACTATGGCTGCCATAGATAGCAGTTCCTTTGATAAATCTAGGCAAGGTGAATGGAAAACCTTCTGGAAAGGGTCCACCATTCTAGATGTCATTAAAAACATCCGTGATTCATGAGAAGATGTCAAAATACCAACATTGAAAAATACCAACATTGAGATCAGTTTGAAAGACTAGATTCCAACACTTGTGGATGATGTTTGGGGGACCCAAGCCTTCAACAGAAAAACAAACAAACAAACAAACAAACAAACTAATGGAGATGTGGTGGAAATAGCAAGATAATTCAAATTAGAAATGGATCCTGAAGATTTGAGTAAATCATTGCAATCTCATAATAAAACTTTAATGGATAAGGAGTTGCTTCTTATGGTTCAGCAAAAAAACTGGTTTCTCGACACAGAATCTACTCCTAGTGAAGAAGTTGTGAAGAGTGTTGAAATGACAACAAAGGATTTAGGATATCCCATAAACTTGTTTGACAAAGTGGCAGCAGTGCTTGAGAGGGTAAACTTCAATGAAAATTCTTTTCAAAATAGCATTGCAATTTATTACAATTAAAGGCTTTAAACATGATGTTTATGTGCAGCTGCTGAATAGCACGTTGGACAGGTTCCTTGTCATCCCACACTTTTCAGTCCTTTTAGAAAATAAATAGCAATGATATTTTGTTTCTTTGAAACAGAAAATAGCAATGCTGCATCTCAAATCACAATTCCCTTTAATCAACATTGTGACATAGGGAAAAAAATGGTAAAGATCAATGAATAACATCCAGTTAGAGAAAATTGAAATCCACAAATAATCTGTTCAATGAGAGCCCTTGAGTAAATTTACTTAACAAGTATTTGTAAGACAGAAATAAAATCTACATTGCAGAGTTATCGCATAATTCTGGCATTTGAAGTAGCCACACATTAATTCTGGTTTGAAGAAACATTTGAAAGAAGAGGATGTGAAAGCTATTTAAAAGAACTCTGAGTTCTTTATGCAGTGACTTTCTAGCCAGACTCTTCACATAAAGATTCCAAGAAAAAATTAGATGCTTTCTAGAAAGGTGTCTTGGTCATAGTTTTGTAAGATACTAATTTATTTCAAATGGATATGCTTGCTAGAGTAGACGTACACTGTGGATAAACCATGGTGTAAAAAATTTTAAAAAATTACTAATTTATCTTTATTTCTTTTTTCTGCTCCTTCCTTCCTACTAGGTCTCCTTCACACAGACTATCCAATCCACATTTGCATATTTAATGCATGTGTAAATGAACTAATGGGAGATATAAATAATATATTTAATACCACGAGTACTGTTCAATTCTTCTTCTGGATATATTTAAATTTCTGTAGGGCACACAGTACTTGGCTTAATAAGAAAAGAATGGCTAATTGTGAATACCAATCACCATTACAGTGAGAAATTATATTAGAAACACGACTTTTTTGCCCTCCCTGTATTCCTTCAATCAAATGCTTAAGCAGCTGCTCTGTTAACTAACATCTGCCCTTATGTATCAGAATATTTCTCCTGTTTTCATCTTCATGATTTTGGTGGACATATGAGTATAAACCATAGTGTCTAAAATTTTCTCACTTGATTTCAATTATCTTTATTTTCATATTAAGGGATAATAATTTAAAACACAAGTATTGATTTATTTACATAGGAAAACAACTCCACTGAGGAGAGGAGAAACAAACTTTTTAATAAGGACCTAGAAAAATAAGAAAATTTTACTATGGCATAGAAATATCTTTATTGTTACTGGGCATTGATTATATTTTATCCCTTCTTTAAAACTGATTGTATCACTTCTAAATTTATTGTTTCCAAAATATTTGAAACATACAATCAGAATTTTAGAATTATATACTGCACTGTCTTGTACATTTTGTGATCAGTTAAGACATTCAGGTAAACATCTAATATGAATTATAGAGATTATAGATATAATATGCTTTCCATTGATATGTTATAAAACTTGTATTACTATTGGAAGAGCTACCTAAATTGACCTGAAATCTTTATTTGATTAATTGTTTATTAAACACACATATACACACAATACATGTAATTAAATATTTTTTTCAGATTGTATTGCTTTCAAAAATAGTACCAGAACTTAAGACTGTCAATTTAAGTGCACTTGAACTCTGTGTCCCAGCATTCTCTTCAGCATAGAGAATGATTCCTGTTCAGGTTTTGTTACAAGAGAAATACGCCGAGAAAGCAGCAGTCGGATGGGCTGCTGACTGTTGTTGGTCAGAGCCTGCGAGGATCAGGTCGAGTGGCCTGCCAGCTCCCGCATGTGCTACTTACTCGACTTTCAGTTGAACACAGCACGTTCTCCTTCCTCACTGCTGGTCTTGGTGACCATGACTGACTGAGACTCAGGCCTCTGCCAGGTATTTTGCAGCGAACTCACCATCACTGAGGGAGCAGCGACAGAGAACCCACAAACTGTGACTTCCACAAAAGCCTTTACGTTTCCTTGCAGCAGCTCTCCTGTCCTGTTAACGCTGCGACAACTGAGGTTTTCCTCCGATCCCTTTCAGATCTTCACCTCCCAGCACATCCGTAGATTGTATTAGGTACAATTTCAGGTTAAAAAGAAAATCCTCCTGGCTGGCGTAGCTCAGTGGATTGAGCTTGGGCTGCGAACCAAAGCATCGCAGGTTCGATTCCCAGCCAGGGCACATGCCTGGGTTGCAGGCCACGGCCCCCAGCAACCACACAGTGATGTTTCTCTCTCTCTCTCTTTCTCCCACCCTTCCCTCTCTAAAAATAAATAAATAAAATCTTAAAACAAACAAACAGTAATTAAAAAAGAAAAGAAAATCCATTTAATTAGTCCATAAAACTCACAGTGTTCTGACTCTCTGTATTAGTGCTAACTGGATGAACCATCCAGGAAAGTGTAGGTTTGTTACAATTTGGCTAATATCTATGGAGTTTCACACATTGAGTGTGTCTATTTAGAGGAGAAGAGGTAGAAGAGTGAGTTGGCCCTCCCAGAGCCAACACCTCAGGGTAATGAATTTACTTTTTTATAACTCAGTGAAACCTTCCCCCTAATCCAATCAGAAATCATCAGGAAGTTTCTATAAAACCCAATCTCTAGAATATTTAAATATTCCCCAGTTAAGAATCCACAGTTTCACCTGTAGAGTAGCATGTGGATCTGAATGCGACAGACCCCATGCCAGCTGAGTGGCTACTGCTGGTTGGTAGGTGGGACAGCCAGGTCAGTTCAGGTTGATCCAGCAAGTTGATAGAATTGCACAAGGGGCACCGTTGTCCACAAGCTTTTCTTAAAACTTCTCTCCAAACCAGGGTGCACATACTATTTCAGTAAATACTTTCAGCTTTATGGGTCATGTGGTTTCATTCTTTTCTTTTTTTTTAAAGAGAAACAGAATTCAATAATCTTTTACTCAATACAATTATTTTCTTCTCCTTGACTTTTGCTCATGGCATATTTCTAGCTCCATATGTAAAAAATTTTAATATAAATAACCATGATTTAAAAATGCCAATATCCAGAAGAATTATCCAGTGAGGCCAAACAATACATCAAATATTATTAAAATTAAATCACACTATAATTTAGATTTATAAAAATCTGACAGGGACATTATGGTCTTTCATAATTGTTTCTAATCACGAAAATAAAACTACAAATTTAAGAGAGAAATACTTATTTACAGGAAAATATTGTGTTTCTTTTCTTTTTCTCTCTGTCACTCCAGCAAAATTGACAAATCTAACACATAATTCAGCATATTTTAACCTCCCCTTATGTTATTCTCACTTTTGGGAAGGCTTTTCAAATACTTAATTCAAATGGAAGTCTTTTTTTTTAAATGAGGAAGAGAACACCAAAAAATATTATAGTTTAATTAGATCAATTCATATTTGAAGCCCTATTTCTTCTGTAAACATCTGTCACATAACATAAAGTTTACTTGATATCTAGATTTATTTTGAAGTCTTTTTTTTAATTACTCACTTCCTCCACTGAAGCATGGAAAATGGCCATATGCCATACTTAAATTATCTGAATAGAACTTTAAGAAATAGTTGTATGATTCAAGAATAATAGCAAGAATCCCTTTTATATCATACAACTCTACGAAGTGGCTTTTATGATTGATGGTCTTGGCCAGTTTTGGCTTAAACAGGCCCCTGCTCTGAAGAATCCTTACAGAGGTTCAACTTTTTGTCTTGAAGCCAACACTATAAATATTTCATGAGTTTCAATTATCTGACCATCTAGTGACATTCAAATACTTATAGAATGTAAAGGCCAACATAATTGCTGCATTCCAATAAAATGTGAAACAAGCCAGGCTTTATTCTATAACCTGATTTTCTTGATAGCACAACGATTAATACTGAAGATGAGGCCTTCAAGGGGAATGGACATTTCAAAGGTTAGAAAAAAAGAAAATGCAACATCTTTGGCTCTCACATTAATTAACTGGAAACCAAAATTAATTTTAAAACCTGAAATATGCCCACAAATATATTCAGCTAAAAAGACATAAAACAAAAGTTTTCTAAATTAACAAGTATACTTATTAAATGATTACTGGCATTCTGGAGCAAAACAAAAGAAATCAGTAATTGCAGCCTTTTGATTCAGTTCAACTGTTCTTTGAATAAAACTTTCTGAAAATTATTGCAGCTAAAAATTCGTAGATAGTGTGGAGATTTTGTTTAATTTATATTAAAATTCATATAGCACTGCTTGTTGGCTTTACTTATATATTCCTGAAAAATATTTTTTCATACTTTCAGGCATTGCCTTTTTTAACACTTAATTTTTTAGAGCAGTTTTACAATCACAGCAAAGTTGAGAAGGTACATAGATCTCCCATATGCCCCGTGGCCCCAAGCATGTAGAACCTCTGTGTTATCAACATTCACTGCCAGAGTGGTGCTTTGTTACAATGAATGAACGT